CCACCATCACCACCACCACCCCCACCACCCCCACCCCCACCACCCCCACCACCCCCACCACCCACCACCACCTCCACCACCCCCCACCACCCCCACCACCACCACCACCTCCACCCCCTCCACCACCCCCACCACCCCCACCACCCCCACCACCACCACCCCCCCCCCACCACCCACCCACCACCCCCACCACCCCACCACCCACCACCCCCACCACCCACCACCCACCCCACCACCACCACCCCACCACCCCACCTCCACCACCCCCACCACCCCACCACCACCCACCCCCACCACCCCCACCACCACCACCTCACCACCCCACCACCCACCCACCACCCCCACCACCCACCACCCCACCACCACCCCACCACCACCACCACCCCCACCACCACCCCACCACCCCACCACCACCACCACCCACCACCCCCACCACCACCACCACCCCCACCACCACCACCCCCACCACCACCACCACCACCACCCCCACCACCACCATCACCTCCACCACCACCACCCCCACCTCCACCACCCCCACCACCACCTCCACCACCCCCACCACCCCCACCACACCCCCACCACCACCACCACCACCACCTCCACCACCACCCCCACCACCCCCACCACCACCCCCACCACCACCACCCCCACCACCCCCACCACCACCCCCACCACCCCCACCACCACCACCCCCACCACCACCACCACCACCCCCACCACCCCACCACCCCCACCACCTCCACCACCCCACCACCACCACCACCTCCACCCACCACCACCACCACCTCCACCACCCCCACCACCACCACCACCCCCACCCCCACCACCACCACCCCCACCACCACCACCACCACCACCCCCACCACCCCCACCGCGCGTTCCCTGGGCCTCGAGCAGAACGAATCGCGAGCTGCCCCGCTGTGGACAGTTCCATGCAGCAAGGCAGGTTGTCCACGAGAAAACGTCTCGTGGGTTCGGGGTCGCGTAAATGTGAATGTGTCGTACACCCACCTCCACCCGACACAGACAATTAGCGAGGTTTGTCACCTGAACAAACGCGTGCCAGTTTGCTACGACCTCAGCACACCGGTTGTGTGTTAGAGAGCAACCTCACGACGTTGACAATCGGAGTAACCTAACCAGTAACAGGTATAAATAATTTCATATCAACATAATACATTTTTATTTCCATTAAGTCATTGACACCCCCCCCCCCCCCTCCTCTGCCTGGGTCCTTCTCGCCTGTCGGTGCACAGTAATGACATCGCCATACCCTATTAAGACCACGGCCTCTTCATAATCCCTGGTAATGGCCTGATGAAGCTGGCTGTAATCACCGGCGAGACGGAGTGCTCCGTGTTAACGCTGCGGGTTCACGCTCCAACACTCGGCTGCGCTGCAGCACAGTCCGAACTGGCACGCTCTGCTCACGTGACACAGCCTCGGCTGTTGCCGTGTGGGTCCACGTCCCATTTACATCGACGCGATCTACACCCCCGGGGGGGGAGGGGGTGGGGAACGTCATCGTGAATCGCATTGGTGGCGAACGGGTCGTGTGTTAAATGACCGTAGGTTGTGTTGTCCGTTCGTTCTCAATCTTGATCAGCGTGCGCCGAGAGTTACTCTTAGTGCGAGGTGCTTTATGTAACCGGCGAGCGGACAAATTTGCGGAGCGTGCGCTGTTTTGAAGGGGACATTAATCTTAGCCGGCGCGTTCGCCCCGATACTTCACAAGGGATTCCACGGGAGGGGAAAAAAAGAATAATAAGATTGAAAAAAAGCATTTAAAAAATAATGTGACCCTCATTAAATTTGGGGGAGGTTTGTAATTGGTAGAAAAAATATGTAGAAGCTCCCACGCAGACATTGTCGAAATGATGCACAGTTGGTGACAATGTTTGTGGCTAAAATGGTGTGAGGACTGAATTGGGGAGATTCTGTGTGTGGCTCACGGGAGATTATTCCTCCAAATGCAGCCGCCCTGCCATGAGACTGCACGCACTCGTCCCCACACTGTCACCGGGATTCACGCAAGGGTAAAGGTGCAGCCCTGCAATGCCGTGGCGCAGTAACGACATTGTCAGCTCAGGTGAGGCCCCAATATTTGATTTGTCTCGCACAGTCGCATCCGGGATGTGACAGAGCCGAACAGCGCCACTCGTGCCGCTCACGGCCTCGAACACTTCACGCTGTAGGGGCGCCACGTGTCGTAAGTTGGTTGTCCTTTTACTCTGTCGTTGAAGTCATCTCATGGTGGTTGTCAGTGGGGCCCCAACTCGTAGCTTTGGTTACGAGTTGGGGGTAGGGGGCAGCCCCTACCCCCGGTGTTTTCATCGGACCACAGATAAAGAAGATGCTGGAGTGCAATGAATTCCCCAAAAAGCTCACTAGTAAGGAGAAAGTGGCTTGGAACAGCTTTGTCGCAGTGGTTCGTGGCTTCCTGGGCAATCACAAGGTCGAAAACTATGGGGAGCTGGTTGAGACTTGTTAAGAACTACGGCACAATGGGCTGTAGGATGTCCCTCAAAGTCCATATCCTTGATGCTGATCTTGATAAATTCAAGAACATGGGAGCGTACTTGGAGGAGCAAAGCGAGCACTTCCACCAGGATGTACTGGACTTTGAAGGCCGCTAACGAAGGACAGTGTAACGAGAACATGATGGGAAACGACATTTGGGGCCGATTCGTGAAAGTGATTTACAGTATAATCGTAAATCTCAAAAAACTACTCACTTCTAAATATTTGGTCGTATTTTTTGTATTACTTTAGTATAAATACATGTTAGTTTTGATTCGTATGTTGTTTTTTGCTGACTTTGTGAACGAAAAAACACAAATTCGCCCGTTTTCTCATTGAAAATAGGTACATTTCTAAATATCACTGTCCTAGTCACTAAAGCAAAGTTTGTGGGGAATAATAGCCATTTTCTATACTTTTTAGGCATAAGCAATTATGAAATAACACTACCCAGGAACAACAATTGTGTTACGTGGTGTAATCATAGAACAGAGCATGGTCCTCGTGTTTAGCTTGTTGGTTGCTGTGGTGCAATGACAGTTCCAGAACGTTCCCACCCACTGAAGAAGCTCAACCCCCCCCCCCCCCACAGACCCGAATGCCCTCTTCTCGTGTCCTCTTCTCGTGTCCTGCAACCACAGTGACGTATGTCGCCATGATCGGCCTCATGGTGACGTGGCCCGGTCTGCAGCCCTGGCGAGGTCCTGCATGGTGCACGGCTCTGCAGGAGCCGACAGACCCGACAGGCGCTCCGTGGTCTGTCTCCTCACAGCAAGTCCACACGTGCGTCAGTGCCACTGGAGGAGCCCCACCTCCACCTCTTGACTTGTGAGCTGCCCACTTCCGTTCCAAGTTCGCGTGCGAGTGGGTGGGTGGTTGTTTGATACCCGTTCAAGGCCAACACGTGATGATTATCTGAACCGGTTCTGGGCCTCACCCTAGGTTGACTCAGCCTCAAATGAGTACCTGGTGCAGTGTGTAAATATGGCCACTTAGGGAGACAAAGGCGGCCGGGAGTTGTTCTGGCCACCCAATCCCTCGTGTGCCGTGCCAGCCTTAATAGGTGCTCGCTAACAGCACTTGCCCCAAGTCTGTCGAAGGCTGCAATGGGGGATCTTTGTCTTTGTGAGTGATTGGGCGTGTGGGTAGGTGAGTGAATGGGTGTGAGTGGATGGGATGTATTCAGAAACATGTACATTATTTGGCTGCTATAAAGTCCACAAGATAAACCGCTTTTCTGAGCTATCATTTGTAGCCAGGTCGCTTATGTGCTCAGTGGGGGCTTTACCTGGTAATATTAAATATAAAAAGTTTAAGTTTCATTTGTATATTTTAAGTGATTTATTTACCTGTCCTATACTTTGCACTCCTTTCGTGTTTGTGGATTGTTTGTTGCAACACTTTCGACCCGCCCCGACTTGGACATCTGTGAAAAAGAGCTTTGTCGCTCATCGGATTCCTGCTGCAGTATATTCTGACTGTGGATTCCGATCAGCGCGTTCACCCCCACCCCCCCTCCTTTGCTGCCGACTGCCGCTTGAAGGCGAATGGCGAGCGTCCCCAAGCAGCTGGGAGCGGGGGTCGTCGTCCTTCTCGGCGCCGGCGGTCGCGCGTTCCGAAACGCCGTCGATGTCCGTCGTGGCGCCCGCGGCGCTGGTGCCGAGCTCCCCGCTCGCCACGCGTCCAGTCGCGTGGCCCTCGGCGCTGTTTCTTCAGCGGCTCCGTTTCCACTGCAAAGATGAAATGTTCGCCAGCGTACAGCTGACCCATACCCTGAAGGAGAGTCCTCCAAATTGCTAAATGTTGAGGTTGCAATCATTTGTTCTGCAACTTGCAGGTTTAACTGAACAATTACAATCGGCGCGTTATTAAACGCCGTCACACGCGCGACGAGTTATGTACCTTGAACTTCTTTCGCACCGTACGCAGCCAACCGTGCTAATCCGAGGTGCGGGTGGAAGGGGGGTGGCGCTTAATGACATAAAATTGAATGAGATCATTACCCGACCAAAAATAAATAAATTAGGAGTCGATTGCGATGCAAATTGCGAAAAAATTAAGCAATTCATAATCCGATTGCTTCGCCTTGAATATACACCGGGGATTGTTACGTGATTTAACAGTACAGTATGTAATATTTAACAGTACAGTACGTAATATTTAACAGTACAGTATGTAATGAAGATACTACTGGAGTGCAGCGGTACAAATTGGTCGGTGAGACTGGGCCAGGCAGAAGAGTTTTTAGAACATAGCATTAAGAGGATTCACTATTCATCTTGCTTCACCCATCAAAGTCTTACCGAGTCTTGCAACTCTTCAGGAGACTCCTGTCACGTTTTCGCAGTGGGGGGGGGGGGGTACAATGATTGCTTTGTCTAACCCCAATTTAGTCATTGCAGTTGTTGTTTTTCAAATCTGAATCATGATGCCAGCACACAAAGGCCTCCTCTTGCAAATGATGTCACGAAATGTGACGTCTACTATGAGGCAGATGGCTTCAATTTTATGGTTTGTTGCATCTGCAGTATTAACCAGGGCGGTCCCTGGAATCGAACTGAACCTCTACAACAATCGGCCAATTTGTTACCGCTAGGCCATGCCACACCTGGACTTAACTTGAGAAAAATGCCACCTCTTAAAGCTTATGCGTAGCAGTTTGCCCCGCAATGACCATGACTGTGTGACAAGAGAGCTGGTGGGAGAGAGCTGCCCTCTGTTGAATGCATCAGAGGTCAATCGAAGGAACGTCAGATGCTGTTCTGCGATATCCACTTTCACGACACATTGTCACGCACGGGGGCCTGCGCTGCTCGAGATCCGAATGGATGTTCGTCTCACGACGTGATAACTTACAACACGATGTGGATGAAATTAAAAGTGAAACGGGGGGGGGGGGGGGGGGCGGAAACAAAAAGTTATTTTAATAATCCTTTTAAAATCACAAAGAGATTTGAAAATCAGTGCCCTTATACCGAGCTTCGAGCCACTGATGCTGAGAAAGTGGCCTCATGTTACCACAGCTCCCGGGCAAGGCTATTAAATCCGAAGATCCAGTCAATCAGCTCGCTAAAGCCGCGACACACGTAACACAGCGCAGTGCTTGTGTATGCCCTCCATGACTGCGGTAGAGAATCCGATGATCGAGTACGCTTATAAATCTGCGTCGCTCGGTTAATTAGTTTAATTCCAGGTCCTACTGAAGCGGGCTGAGGCGCAGTAGCGCGTGATGAAATAATACTTATAAAAATCAAGAGGTCACCATGGCCACCGTCACCGCCTCCTCTCTGCCGAATCCCGCAACTGCTGAACAGTTGACACCCAACACTGAAGGGTCTGCCCCTCGCAATATCCCACCATCTGGCCTTAAAGTCTATCCCCCTGGTCGGCATTCTCTGGGTGCTACTCCAATGGCCGTCTCGGTTACCTGCCCTTCCACATTCTGCACGCGCCCCCCACCCTTCACAAACCTCTCCCAGATTACATCCTGCAACATTCTTAATGCAACATTTCTACTTTTATGCATGCGCCTGTACTCAAAGGCAGGAAGAAATTTTTCCAGAGTTGCTTGGGAAAAGTCCATCTCTCGAACCCGTAATAACACGGACATTACGACCGAGTAGGTTGTGTGTTGTTCTGTACAATGTCCAACGTTTCACTCAGAGTGCTGGAAGCATCTTCAGGAACTCGGTTCAGACATGTCAGCCGTCTGTTCAGCATAATAATTTCTGCAGCCTCATGCCATCACCATAGGTTGTCTATTCAGCACTGGCCAAACAGGTTTCCTTTACAAACGCCGGCTGTGTGCATGCTTGTGTTCTTTAACAGATCTCTAACATTAAACACGTGGTATCACATAATTGCAATTAATGTAAATGAATGACTTTGCAACCTTACACAAGTCATGTGTGTGGTGAAAATATAATCCCCTCGCCACGAAACCCCCAGGGAAATCATTTCATACTGCACTTGCGTTTTATGCGACGGCACATCATTAATCTGCATTTATTGCTTAAAGGGCCACCCCTGCTGCTAAGCAAAATACTTCAAACTTTGTTGCAATACGACAATGAAATGGGAGAAAACAGCAGGTGCTCCTTTAAGGCAAAGTTTTTGTTACGCGGGGAACAGTGGTGAGTGTTTAATGAGTGTCTGATCAGGACAACAGGAGAAAAATGAGGATTCATTATTTTATTTTCACCAGAGGCACAGCAGACGTGGTTTACTTCTGGGTCAGAAGATGCAACAAAAGATTTCCACCGCAAAAAAACAACCACACAAACCGACTTCTCCTTCGCTGGTCCTTTCAAAAAACAGCAGTAGCCTCCCACCCCACCCCAGTGCTTGGAACAGCATTTATAGAAATAATCGCCGTCACTTAAATTTTTTTGTCAAACCACAGTGTGCGCCCAATACACAGAAAGGGCGAGCAATTAACAAACACGGGAGGCTGCGGGCGAGACTACAATGACGCCCACTCGCCCGTGTGTCTGTGCGGATGATTGCGACAGTTCAGGCTTTGCCGAGTGCCACGTTCGTCCCGTTGCCAGACTCGTTAAAGCGCAAGAATTTCAAGTTACCATTGACCTACAAAAGTGACTTTTTTTTTGCCTAAGAGCAATCAACCAGGTCAATTTAAAGAAGGAACCTCACGCATGGCAAATAATAATATGAAATTGCAAAACTTGAATCGAACAACCTCTCATAAGAAGGACCAACCCCAATTAAACCCTTGCAAGGAATCACATACATCAAGCGATAAATGGTTGCGGCGCGCGTCCCCCACCCCTCCCCCCGCCCCAAAAGAAGAGCGAGAACGGCGAGTAACATTGTTAAAAAATAAACATACCCACACAAAGTGCGGCGATGCGCTCTAGTGAACGCTGCTACTTCTACTCTACGCGGAAAATGAAGATGCTGTCAAAAGTAAATCCCGTGGCCAGATCGAACCCGGGGACCCAGTGTCAGTGTAGTGTCAGCGGGGAGAAGAAGTGACGGCACTGACGCTCTGCGATGCGTGAGGCCGCCCCCCCCCCCTCCCCCCGGGGGGGCTGCAGGGCCCAACGTGAGTGATGCCTTGGCTGAGAAATGACAACTGCTCGGGGAGGGGGAGAGGGAAGCGAGGGATGAGTGATATCTTACCTATGGAACCGGCGCACAGCGTTTTACAGAGGGGGAGGGTGGGGGAGGGGAAGTGTTATTACGGTCTAAGGAGAGCCCCCTGCTCTGACCTTTCCAACCGTCATTATGGGACCAATGCCCTGCCTGTTGCATCCATTAGTCAAGGGCGCCGCTGGATTTTTATTAATTTCGTAGGCGACTGCCGGGGTGGATCCCGCGATGTCAATTCAAGCGACGCGTCTGATGCGTGCCAAGTGTGTAGGCGGGCACGCGGTGCACGCTGGGAAGCTGGATTAGCGAGACGACGTTGGAACTTGAGGGACAGGGGGAGTGGTCTGTAACCAATCAAAAGAGAGCGGCGTTACGGGGCGGCCAAGAACGTTGGGCAACAATCGCCACCACCACTACATCTGTATCAGCCCCAGCATACAACATCTTTACCTATACCAGTCCAAATGTAATGTGCGCTGTTGATCTTCAATGTGGATGGCCAATCTAATAGAACACATTCGGGGAAAAGCGGATACCAATTACGTGACAATTGGCTTCACCTCAGGAGTCAGGGGCCAAGTGCCCTCGGCCACCCTCAGTTCCACGCAGCGTGCACTGCGCGCGTGTCCACGGAACCCTGCGTGCATGCAACACGAGCACGGTCCCCGGCTGATGTCGGTGTTTTGGTCCGCAAGGAAAGAACAAGGGAAGACGCCACCGCCACGCCGTCTCAACGCTTGGCACTGGGTGGCGGGGCGAGGGACGGACTCGTCGACCCCTAGGAATTCAGTTACCGGCATTGGGGGTTAACGACAGCCGTGGGGTTGAAGAGGGGGGGGCAAGACAAGACACGCACGGCCGAGGGAGCCACTCCCTCCGCTAAGGGCAGTTAGTCTCGGGAATGTGTAGCTGGATGGGAGCGTGTGCTGCAGTTGACAATAGGGGGGGGGGGGGGGGATCTGGACGAGTGCATAGTTCCATGTGGATGATGCGACTAAAGCCCTGGGCTGTGTGGGGGCGGTGGGGGTTGCCTGTGGTCCGGGGGTAGGACGCGTTGTTTGTAGTCCTAGCCGTAGAGGTCATCGTCCGCATCCTCGTGGTACAGATTGCCGCTGCCACCGCTCCCGCTGGGGCCCTGGTTGGGGGCCGTGCCACCCTGAGATGCCCCCGGGAACCTGCAACGCACAAAGGGGGTGGGGGGGGTGGGGGTGGTGGTGGTGGGCGAGGGGTGAGTGGGAGAGGTGGTGGTGGTAGGCGAGGGATGGGGGTGGTGGGCGAGGGGTGGGTGGGAGAGGACGAACCGTGATTACGACGCATCTCGCCGACGGGCCGGCAATCATCCATTACAATATTGGCTCCGAAACGCACACCTCCGCCGGCGCCATTGGCGTATATTCCACATCGCCAAGGTGGGAGCCGGTGTAGTCCACCACTCGTAGGACACCCCTCTAAAGACTTGGACTATTCATTGTATAGGTCCCGGATGGTTCATGGGGCCCGAGTTAAGGACCTCAATGATTGAGAGTCGAGGGCTCCATCTGCAGTATCTACGTCACCTGGCCGGATTGATAAATCCTCACCGGCCATGATCAATCCACTGCTGGATGGTGATGACACATGCGGCGAAACGTGACGGATTTGACAGCAAATGGCACGCGCGGCATGACGCAAATGCGCATCTGACGACAGGAAGGGGGAACGCCGCCATCTTCCCGTGACGACAAAGCCGAGGGCACAATTAGAAATCGGCAGCGAAAAAAACTAAAATATAAAAAGGCGACAATAAGTTTCACACACAGGCGCACTTTGTGGCAGCGGCTGCCAGGAGGGACCTTTCCTCGAGCCGCCTCGATCGCAGCATTGCCGTGGCGGCACGTGGAGGATGCGTGGAAGCGCTCGCTGACAAACTATGGGCGCACGCCGCCAGCTCCCTCCTCCGCGGTGTGCAAACGCTACCGAGGCGGTTTCCGTGAACCAGTGGAAACTGCAGCCAAGGACTTGCACACCCCCCCTCCCTTCCCCGTGTCATCATACAGCAACAGAATCAGGCGGGAGACCTGGTGATGCCTGAATTAGGGTTCTGCGGTGGTGAGATGTTAACTCCCTCACCTGGCATACAAGAGTTTGTGGGTTTGATCCCAAAACCCACGCCTGCTTTATTGAGCTATCATTTGTGACCAGGTCGCTTCTGAAAAAGTTCTATATAGCTTAGTGGGCTTAGCTAATAAAAAACATTTAGTTTAGTTTCAAACAGCAGTCGGCAACAAAAGAGTGAATGCGCGGAAGCGTGGCTGATCTAGCATCTCATCCACTCACGCACTCACCCATAAGCCCATTCACTCACCTACTCAAACACTCACCCAATCACTCACAAAAACAAAGCTCCCCCGTATAGCCTTCGACAGACTGTTGGGGCAAGTGCTGTTGGCGAGTACCAATTAAGAACAGCATGCTGCAGAAGACGGATGTGGTCAATCCCGCCACGCTCGGGCACCTTTGATTCCTCAATGCTAATGTACACACGCTATACAAGTTACTCGTGTCAGGCTGGGTCGACCGAGAGGAGGCCTCAGAGTAAGTTCAGATACCGCCGGCCAATTATGCAAGCCATGGCAGGGAATCGGTCTGTTCGCCAGGATCGTAGAGCAGTGCTTCAAACAACTAAGTCACGGCCCTCCACACGGAGAGACGCGCAAACATAATAAACAAAGATCCCCACCTCCCGCTAACTCCTGGCCGCCTGTCTCCCCAGTGTTAATGTTTACACACTGCACCAGTAAGTGATTTAAGGCGGAACCGACATAAGGAAGGCCCAGTTAAATGTCGCCTGTTATTGGTCGTGAACGGGAAACACAAAAACACACGCAAATATTTACTATTTTTATTTTACCAGGTAAGGCCCACTGAGCTACGTGGCTCTTTTACAGAAGTGACCTGGATACAAATGATAGTTCAACGAAGTGGCTCATCATGTGGAAATATATAGCAGCCAAATACTCTAAACGCATGTTTCTAAACATGGAGGGCAAAACCTATGCGACCACGGGGAGAGACATGCAAACTCCAAATATACAGGAGTCAGGGTCAGGATCGAATCCCCGATCTCCTGTATACCAGGCGAGGTAGTTAACGTCTCGCCACCGTGGCATACACACATACTTCAGACGCAGCGGACGTTAACGTGATATGTGAGAAAAGCAGCTTCAAGTGGCGGCATTTGGAGTACGTGGAAAGGTTGGAGTAATTACAACCTCAATATACGACAATCATCTTCTATGCCGAGGAAGTCCTCAAGCGAGTCGAATATTTTTTCACACTTTCCAACTACGGTTTACAGTGTTAATTCGTTATGTCAGTGTATCTATCTGTCCTGCTTGGGTTAATTTTACCATACTTCAGCATACTTGTCAGTGTTGATTGGTGAGCTTAGATATTGCTGCAATGTTCGCAGATGCCCACAACGTAGTACCAAAGCAGCCTGTAAAAGCCTGCTTAACCACATGGTGGTTGCCTATGCAAGCACTGTCCAAGCCTCAAACCTGCTGAGCTTCTGAGATGTCATTAAGAGATTTGGTGGTGCATGGCAGGCAAATTGGTCACAGGCCAACTTAATCTGTGCAAGGACAGAATTTCACACGTGTTATTACTTTTTTTTGCCAACATAACAAAGTTTGTTTACAGTGCTTTTCCCTTCCTAGCAGCAGCATACTTTCCTTAACCACACAAATCACCATCAGAAGCACAAAGGGCCTCATGGCGAGTTTCCTTGCAGTTCGCGTTGGCCTAATTTACGTTTCAGACTTTCGCACGCCCGTTGCCAATTAGAGCGCGAGAACACACACACAAAGCACCAAATTAGGAAGCTTGAATAAAAGCAGACGAACGAGTGAGAGAAGCCAGCGAGCGCCAGCGCGCTCGTCACGAGCAATACGAAGTAGGCGCCGCCGTAATTGTGCGGCGAGCACAGAAACATTTATCCATAATAGAGGTTTTATACCGCTGCTCCCGTGTCCTTCAACGAGCCGCACTTAGGGACGCGTCTAAGTGGAGCGCCGACTTCCGTTTCGACGGCGCCAGTTTGCGTGTCGAGTTGAGCCACTGGTCCCCCCCGATCATAGGAATATGGAATTTCCACTACTGGCTCAGACCAATCAAAAAGAGAAGACTGCCACGCAATTGAGTGGGGGGGTTGGTGTATCGTACGAGAATAATTATATTGTTGTGGAATTCTAAACCAGCCGAACCACAAGGTGGCCAGATTGCAGTACAGCAAGAGGGTTTCTTGACCTGCCTGTACAGATTTTGAGTGCTTTCGCTCAAGGCACTCCAGTTTTCTTCCCATGAGCAATACGCTCGTTAACAAGGGAACTGGTGATGCGTGGCAAGGCTCGAGGCTCAGTGACTTTGCTGAATAAATGGGCGTTATTATTTAAAGCATCTGCAGAATGTATACAATCTAAGGTGGGTGCGCTGCTGTGTGGTTAGAGCCCTCGAACTCACAATTGGAAAGTGGCAAGTTGATATTCTGGTTGGTCACAGGGTACAGATCGCCCCGGTTTAGGAACCGATGAATCGGATCACGTCGGTGACCAACGTATGACGAGTACGTCAACGTTCGGTTAAACAGGCGTGCCGGCTACACCGATTTTTAGTTAATGTGTTGCCGATGTCTCCGTAGCGAACAAGCAACGTGAACCTGGGCCCCCCCTCCCCCCTCCGACTTTTGCATCACCATGGACAGCGCCTCGCACTCCGCAAATGTCAACGTGCGATGATGTGTCAGGGGAGTGCCCGTTGGACAGTCAGACGGACGGTCTCTCACCGGAAGCTGCCAAAGCCGCGGCTCTGCTGCAGCGTCTGAGCGAACATCTCGTATTTGCGGATGTCGTTGTCGCTGACGGAGCGTCGGGCGAAGCGCATGGCCTCTTCAAAGTGGTCGCGGCGGATCTCGGGCACCGCGTCTTCGTCTTCCACGTCCTGCGGTGACAAAGCGGAACGGCACGGCCCACGCAGAGCGGCGTATCGTCATCGTGATCACGTCGCCGTCACCACCACCACCGCACATCACGGGACGAGCACCTCACCCAGCAATCAAGTCGCCACCAAGCGAGCAGCACATCACAAGGCAGTGCGCCACCAGACAAGGCAGTACCATCGTCACCACGCTAGGCAGCACACCATCACCACACTAGCTAGGCAGCACACCGCATCACTACAAAATGTAATGATAGTATATGGGGCTAAAGGGCACAGTTGATATGTGAAAAATTTGTGCTTTCGATCATACAGGCATGAAAGCTTGCACACGCTTGAATTTGAAATATTTTTAAATGCTGCTGCTGTGTTGGCAGTGGTGACAATGGAACGTGTCCATCAAAAACAGTCTTAAACAGTCAAAGTTTATAATAGGCGACGTTTGGGGTAATAGCCCTTCTTAGCCCATCTTCGGAGCACATATGTGGTCTATGATATAATTTTAGGGCAGCGTTATTGACGAACGTGTTGAATTTTATGCAACTTAAGTTGAGGAATGCTGGAAAACCACCATCTGAATATGGCCCACAATAACAAATGTGCAGCATACAGATCGTCGAGTACCAGCTCCCACACTTGTGTATCATGGAAGGCACAAACCGGGCGATCATTGGCATCTGTGTTCGGGTGGCAGCACTTAATTTGTACCGACATCTGGTACTGGTACTGTGTTTAACTTTATTACGAGACTGCACAGTTTTGACACAGACCTAGGCCGACTGAGAAATATGGTCACGTTTGGTATGCAGAGGAAGAGGTGGCAACCCTAAAGAAGGGACTTTAGCCACTCAATGGAGGGCGGCCATCTTGTCAAACTGGCCCGGATGACTCTGCCACCATGTTGTCTCTGCTCTGCACCTTGTGGGTCACAGTGTCTCCTGCTGGTGGTGATGGGCGGTGCATCCTCAAAATCTGCTCGAGACATTTAAACGGTAAGGCTCCGAGTTCGTCACCGTGGTCACAGACACCGTGTCATCTTGGGTATGGATATAGAAACAGCCTAAGGCGCTCTTTTATAGCTTCTCAAAAATACCATTTAGCAGGTTAATGGGGAATACCGCCCCACCTTACTCGGTGACAAAAAATTCCCCCGATCTTCGGCCATGATTTTGACTAAAGATGACCGTGACAGAATCGCAGCCTTACTCGTTTGGCCCTCGACACCGTCACTCACAAACGTGCATGAGGCAGAGGAGGTAAGGGTACCAACTACCGAAATTCGGAAACACTATAGTGGTACGGATATATTTATATTAAATAATAAGCTTACGGTCATTAAGAGGAAAGTCTCAACAATGTCAGTCACAACTGGCTTTCTTCAGGAGGAACCAAGCACCAATGGACCTCAGTCACGTATGGACTTGGAAAGGAGTACGTGATTTGGTGATGGTTGGGCGCTAGACAAGCAGCTGAACGTAGTGGAAAAGCAAGTTGTGCTTCCTGACCCCACGCCGACTCGGTACAGCCCCAGCACAGCTCGGATATGCACGTGGAACAAGAGATATGCGCGCGAGTGTGTGTGTGTATGTGTGCACTGGGGAGTGGAGCAGTTAGCGCACTGCGCGACAAACCCCGGTGACACGAGTTCGATTCTCGCTGTCAACACCTGTGACGAATATCTGAACCCGAGTACCTGGTGCGATGTGTAAACATCGCTACTAAGGATACAAAGGCTTGGTGCTGGCCACACCACCCCATCGTGTGCAGTGCCGGCCTTCATAAGTGCTCGCTAACCACACTTGCCCCAACAGTCTGATCACTGACCATGGCACCGTCCGGGTTGCTCTGGCGTTCGCGCTCACGCCGGATCTCTGACTCGATGCTCTCGCGGATCGCCAGCTTGCAGGCGCGCTGGCAGATCTCCGTGAGGTCGGCGCCCGAGAAGCCATTGGTGGTCTTGGCCAAGTACTCGAGGTCCACGTCCTGTAAGGGAGGGAACACGCAGGGGAGGGGGGGATGGCGGTGAGCGACCTGGTAAGCTCCACTGGAGACGGACGGACCGTCTAGAGTTACGCGGCATACAGACCTCGTGCGGCACCCGATGCACGGTTACACGTGTGCGTTTGTGGCACTCTGCTCTGAAAGTCTACTCACCGCATGGATTTATGAATGAAGGCTTCAATATAATAATGGATTTAATAATATAGATGTCGATAATATAGCCAGGAAAGCTTCTCCGTTCACACAATTATTTATCAGGAGGGTGAAGCATTGGAATGTTTGGTCAAGTGAATATTTTACCATAATTTGTCTTTTCCCTCACAGTGGTTAGCGAGCTCAATCGATTCTCAGTCAAGGCTGATCAGCGGCGAATAACATCCGATTCTGCCCCCCCACCCCTTCCCCATTCTCTGACCAGCAATGACTCGTCTGGTAAAGCATGGCCAGACAACTCCATGCCTAACATGGCACGGACAAGCCTTCATCCAGCAGTGGATTGACAAAGTGATGCAAGTTATTAATTACATATTAATCAACCAGAAACAGATTTAGACTTTAAACATTATTCAGAGTGGGACCATTTGTGTGGACCAACACGAGCCAACGTCACAACTAAGATACATTAATTGGAATCATTTATAAAATTAAGGAATTAGGATATTTTTTATTAACATTAACTTTTTAACCATCCCATAGCTTCTGCAAAACTTAGTTTTATTCAGTTAAACAGCAATTATGACCAAACAAGTCAACTGGAAACCTACAAATTACATCTAACCAGATACATCCACGCAATTTTCCCACACAAAAAACATTAGGCGGCCATCTTGTTTGCTTTATGAATGGTGAAAGCGGAGCAGACAATAAAGCCGAGCAGACAATAAAGCCTTGCAGCCTTTCCCAAAACTGACTGGTGAAAAAGCAACTAAGTGGCTGGCTAAACAAGAGTTGAAGAAATACGGGAGGACAGAATGAAAGGAGCGAAAGACGGCCTGCGCTTACACTGGTGTTACCCCCAATCCAGCAGTAGACGGAGCATGGCTGCTGCCTAAGTGCAGGGAGAAGCTGACTAAAAAGTGTACATTAGTTAAGTTATATTATTTGACATTGTCTGAAAATAGCTCTAAAGTATTTTTGTCTCATTAGCAATGCTTCACAGAGCCTTGGTATCTACCACTTCTAATTTATTTCTCGAGTTGCGTTTTTCCTTTCAAAGCTATTTTCAAGTTCCGCCTCGAAGTATCTCGCTAATTAGTGCTACCGCGTGCGCATTGTGTAATGATGCATCTGTGTCTGCTTGCGTGCAGGGCGTGCGTTAAGTTTGTGTGCCTGCCTGTGTGTGCATGCTTCTTATGCGTATATAATGCGTGTTTGTACATATGTTTGGTGCGTGTGTGTGTTGTGCGCTTGGCTATGTATGGAGTATGCGTATGTGTGTGGTGTCTGTGTGGATTGTGTGTGTGGTGATCTTGTTTTCAGCGTCTATGTGGGGGTGTCTGTGGGGAGCAGTGGGGGGGCAGTGTTTAGCACACTGTAATACGAATATCTGAACCAGTCCTGGGTCTCCCCTGGGTTAACTCAGCCTCAAAGGAGTACCTGGTGTGGTGTGTAAATATCGGTACTGAGGAGGGCGTGGTGTTACGGCCACTCACCTGCTCGTGTGCTGTGCCGGCCTTCTAAGGTGCTCGCTAACAGTGCTTACCCCAACAGTCTGTTAATGCTATATGGGGGAGATCTTTGTCTTCATGTACATGCATGCGTTTATGCATGTGTGTGTGTGCATGGGGAGCGGCAGTGCAGCGGTTAGCATGCTGCGTTACGAACCCAGCGACCAGAGTTCGATTCCCAAACGCCAGTGAAAATTATCTGAACCGGTTCTGGGAATCAACCTCAAATGAGTACCTGGTGAGGTGTGTAAACATCACCACTGGGGAGACAAAGGCGGCCAGGCGTGGTGTTGGCTACCCACCCCCTCGCGTATCGTGCCGGCCTTCATAGGTGCTACTCGCTAACAGCACTTTCCCCAACAGTCTGGAAAGGCTACACAGGGGATCTTTGTCTAAGTGTTTTTGTGCTATTGTGTGTGTGCGTGTGTGCCATGGATGCTGCATCTCTGTGCACGTATGCGTGTCGCGTCCGTGTGGGTGCTGTACGTCCGTGTGTGCGTGCATGCAGGCTCTCAGCTTGAAACTCCCCTTTATTAAATGCAATACAACTTAACCACCGAGTCGGCCAATACAAATGCTGAGAAATGATTCAATTTTGGGTGAATTTGGAAACGCTTTCCATGGCTCGTGTGGGGCTATGCAACCTTCCAATCCCAAGGTTACCGCATGTCGACGCCGTAGCGGGTTTCCAGCGTCTCAAGATTGTATCGGGGGGAAACAAAACTCGTCGGCCGCACAGGTTCTCAAAATTCCTGTCGTTCCTCGCTCTGGAAACGGAAATAGCGTACCAGAGCGATGAAGCAGAACACGGACAACACGTCACAGCGACAGCTAGCCTCCATTCTTTCTGACGGAGAAAATTAACATTGAGATAAAAAAAACGGCGCCGGCAAAACGCTGGAGGATGCAGGAAAACCATATTGAGTATGGAGGAAGAATCACTAACCCCTCTCTCCCCCCACTCTCATACTCAACGGCTGAATTCATGAGGCCCAATCACAGCCCTGGAGCATTTGAGCTAAGCTTAGAGACAAGGAAGAAGACATGAACATGGGGTCCATCCCCAAAGCTTAGACCGGTCTTACACACCTGAACCTTAGACCAGTCTTACACACATGAACCTTAGACCAGTCTGACACACCTGAACCTTAGACCAGTCTTACACACCTGAACCTTAGACCAATCTTACACACCTGAACCTTAGACCAGTCTGACACACCTGAACCTTAGACCAGTCTTACATACCTGAGCCTTAGACCAGTCTTACACACCTGAACCTTAGACCAGTCTTACACACCTGAACCTTAGACCAGTCTAACAGACCTGAACCTTAGACCAGTCTTAGACACCTGAACCTTAGACCAGTCTTACACACCTGAACCTTAGACCAGTCTGACACACCTGAACCTTAGACCAGTCTTACACACCTGAACCCAGAAAGGTAACAACCGGCTAAAACCCCCCTGCAACCCCCCACCTCCCTAGACCCCTACCCCTCTCCCCTCTCCTGCTCTGATAAATCTGACGTGCCTCATACCGTCGATGCCCTTGGAACTGCCGCCCAAAAGGTCATAATGTTGATCTATTCTCATCAACGTATGATGTGAGGGAGGATGTGGAATACAAAAAGTTTATATCAAAAAAACCATGCCAGAAAATGAGCAGTATAATCCTGCCAAAGAGCTTGCTCCAAGAGTTTCTCCATTAGCTGCGGCTAAGACGGAGCGGCGATCCGCCGGGATTAAATGTCCCCTCCGCCAAGACGCGACTCACAGCCCTGCGAGCGTCTCCTTGCCCACAAAGGCAATGGGGGGGGGGGGGGGACAGAGAATGCTGATCCCCACTCTGGGCCTTGAGCCAACCGTGGAAATGCCACATCAAATCCACATTCCCTCTTGCAGAAACCATTCTATCCATATGAAGATGATGATATCCCATAATATATGGGACAGGGACGACACTAAGCGGGACACAGGCTCGCAACTCCCTCCAATCGCGAGGACGGGCGCACCGCCAAAGCGTTGCCGGACAAAAATGGGGCCACGTAAAAACTGCTTCTCCATCCCACCCCGTTCTACATCCATATGCTCTTATTGTTATTCCTGAGCAAGGCGAGGAGGACGACGACTGTAGGTTAGAGGAGATTAAAACCCCTCACCGCCAATTATGTATTATTGTTTTTAAATGTATCAATTCAATTTCCCTTGCCATTTCCTCGTGTCAATAAGCGTCATTGCCGGGTCATCTCTCTCCACCCGAAATCCCAACCATCACAACAAACTGGCGATTCGGGCCCGAACACGTTAATGGATATTGATCGCGCTGCCACAGCCGAGGACTTTGCAATCAGCATCAAGGTCAAATCTTCACAGCGGTGAACGGGGCTACGGATCTTCCAACCTCTTAAAACAACCGCGCGTCAACGAGCAAAGTGCGGCGAGTGGCATTTGTTTTTCCGGCGGTGGGGTGGTGGGGGTAGAGCGGTGTGAGTCTTGACAAATAAATATATTATTGATGGTCCTAAAGGTTGATTTGGCGGAGGCGAGACGGGAGGCGGCTGACGGCGAATGCAGTGGCATCGCCAGATACGAGGTGCACACACACACAGCAATGGAACAAGGTTAGCACATTGCGCGATGAACCTGGCGACCCCAGATCAATCCCCAGCCATGGCGATCATCAGTGGAGTGATATCTGAAATGAACCTGGGCAATTCCCATTCCTTTAACCCACACCGTACTTCACCGAGTTGGTCAGTCAAACAACCGCCACGACTAAGCCAAAATAAGGAAGCATTTGTCCAGCGGTGTATTGACAAAGAGATACAAATTTTAAAGGTAAAGGAGCAGCCCTGCAATTACAAGGGGGAGCTCGAGAGATGCCCTCAAGGAAGTATTTGACCTACCCTGCTATGTTGGCCAGATGTCTTGGAAGAGGTAAGTTCCAACACACATATATGGCTGGGTAGACAGAGGCCGTGCAGGGCTGGGGGGATTCATGAAACGTTCGCGATCGTCTCAAACTGCCGCGCCAGGAAATCCAATCGAACCGTCGACCGCCGGATCGACGGTCGGGCGTGCTGCTAACCACTACAACAACCACCGGTGGCAGCTTACCGCCGTGAATAACGACGACGAGCAACAACGCCCTCCGCCCTCGCCGATGTCTGGGCTGTGCTCTTGGCAGGGGGGGGGGGGGCGAAATCGAGTGCCCCAAGCAGGAACGGCATTGCGGGACGGCGGCGCGGGACGGCGGCGCACGCGGAACGGGAAAACAACGGCTCGGCACTTCACGGCGGCCTCACGCCTATATTTAGTCTCCGAGGCGGAAGCCGTCCTTTTGCATATCTCCTAATCGAAGCCATTAAGCACATTTAAAAATGGAGCCCTCTTTTCCTCTCAGGAAGCAAAGGAGGAAGAGAGCACGGCAGGGGGAGAGGGGCGGGAGACGTCGCGAGAGGGGGCCGAGATCCACGGTGAGACAAGTGCGTCGATATCACGTCACGCGGCTGTCCGCGTGACCGATGAGAATGCCAGGCAACAACAGAGTAACTTCCCTGGAAGAGCCTCGCCGAGTCTCAAGCGTCGTTTTGAGGAGGGCTCTCCTACGTCGGGACTTTTGGCGGACGCCGGAATGACCGTTTCGGGGGGGGGGGGGGGGGCGGGCAGAAAATGTTGCCGTAGACGGAGGAAGAAAACCGAAGCACGTGTACGGGGAACAATCTACTTGCTGTACTGATGTATACTGCCAACTTCGCAGACCAGGAGGTTTGGTATCATGCACGATGATCCTGAACATATCCACTGTCAAGGAAATTACCAAAATGTACAGCTCTTTGGTTAATCCACTGTTAGATGAAGGCTTCCTGACATGGTGTCGGTTACAGTCGTTGTATGCACCATACCTCACCGTGCTGGTCAGTGCAGGTTTTTTGGTTTAGATCGCGTAAATATATAAAGGTGTCATTAAACCCACCACCACCCGCGACAGCCAATTAGTAAGGTTTGTCGCATAAACAGAACAAGCCAATTCGTTACTAGTGGGTTCATAGCAGAATGCACTAACCAGTGTGCAACCGTTCCCCACAATGATTGTTAAAACACCGCATACCAATTTGGACAAGGCAATGAGAGCTTTAGAAAATAAATCTCTAAATTTGATAGGTTGCATAATTGGAGAAAAGAACCACATCAGCATCTGGGGGTTGTGACAGGGCGCTATTACACACCGCAGCATTTCTATATTGAAAACTCATTTCTTTAGAACTGCTTTCTGTATTTCGTTTGTTGTCTTTCCCCCACACTTCCAATTAGCACAGTTGGATACGTACAATACTAAAAGGTGCAACACACACACTTACATAGCAGGGCCAGACATGACTAAATTAAACTTCTTCTTGGTTCTTTCGGTAAAGTCACGTAGAAGGGAAGTAATAAAATAATAAAAATAAAACATAATAAAACAATTCTCACGACGTTTCGGCCACAACGCAAGCAGCCGTCCTCAGGTGAAAACCAGGTCCGTCGAGGCGACAGAGTCTGAAGCTCTCTTCAGACTCTGTCGCCTCGACGGACCTGGTTTTCACCTGAGGACGGCTGCTTGCGTTGTGGCCGAAACGTCGTGAGAATTGTTTTATTATGTTTTATTTTTATTATTTTATTACTTCCCTTCTACGTGACTTTACCGAAAGAACCAAGAAGATGAATCCCTGCAGTCACGAAAGCTTTAAATTGAAATTTAAATTAAACTTGTTCTGTGCGATCGTCAAGAACCGTGATATACCAAGAACACACAAAACGTCCGTCTCTCCACATATAATTATGTCACCAGGCTACAAAAAAATGTTGCCTGGATTCCTGCCTGCCTCGCACACGGCCAAAGCATGTATGATGGGGCATTGTTTTCCAACACTATGCGTATGACAAAAATATATATTTAGTTCCAAGTGGAGACTGTGTCCATTATTGACTTGCCATACCAAACTAATCTACATCGTCACCATCACCCGATTGACAATCCACTGCTGGCCGACTGCCTCCCAAAGCCGTTGCCACCACCTCCCCCCCCACAAGTCTGCGATGTAATAATCCACGCAGCACCTGCACACAAACCGATTTCATTGCTCCATCTCCAGCGGCGGACGTACTCTCGCATGCCTTCCCTCCCTGGCTGCCACCATTCTTCCTGACAATCGTCCACAATCTCCCAGTCTGCCGAGATATCCTGCCCAAGCCTCTGAACAATGTCATTCAAGCTGTAGTAGAAACATATATAAAATAGTATAAACCAAGCGGCAAGTCCAGAATTTAAGTGGCTCATAAAAGGCAACAGAGCACAGGTAATTTGAATCTAAATATTTGAGCTCACCGTTTCCAGAACAAAAAAGTCATTGTCTAAATGTCCGTAATTACAAGCAATTTGGTTCGAGTATAACTTTGGGGACTAATTATGACCAATTTTGACGAGCTTTTTTGGGCTAATCTTGAACTCGGTACAAACTCCAGATATTGAATTTGGTCAAAAGCCAAATGGGGTGAGAACTAAACTACCCCCCAAGCTTTCAAGGTTGGGAAGCAAACTGAACAACATATTGTTGGCTCTCACAGAAGGAAGAAAGAGATGGAGGTTTGATGCAATTAATGGCATCGACAGTGACAACCCTTTGATTTACTACGCGAATCCTTCATCATCATCAGCCATAATCGATCCCCGCCTGGATGGTCTCCCCAAACCGCCACCATCTTATAAAGTCTTGCAATTCAACGATCAATACAGCTTCCGTGCAAACGAGCCGATTTCATCGCTCCATCTCCATGGTAAATGTCCATTCAGGTGCGAGTCTTGACCACTGTCCATCATCTCTGCCCAATCCCACTTTTCTCACTGGTCGATACGACGTGTCTAACTCGTGCACGTTCTCCATTCATGAATGTCCTCTCGTCAAGGTAGCACCTTTTTTTCGATTTAAAGCTTTCGTGACTGCAGGGATTCATCTTCTTGGTTCTTTCGGTAAAGTCACGTAGAAGGGAAGTAATCGAAAGAACCAAGAAGAAGGTAGCACCTCTCTCCATGCTTTTCTGCGCATGCTGCAGCTCGCGTTCTATTCTCTTTGTTAGCATCCACGGTTTTTGAATAACTTTTTTTTATTTCAAGTTGTAACACGCAGCACAGTGCTGGCTCATTCTTGAAGAGAGAGAACGTCTCAGAGGCGCAAGGGGGACCCAGACAAGCAGGAAGGTGGTAGCTACGCAATGATTCCCCCCTCCAAGTTCTGCAGTCCTCTAATTTTAAGTTGTCAACCATTGATAATAGGTTTTTCCCTTTTTTTCTGCCAACAAAACAGCTGTGTTAAGATGTTACACCAAACTGAAACCTTTTACAAGGAATCATGTCTGCATTAACCAGATGTCTAGGTTCCTCAATTAAAATATAAACACAATTTAAACATGTAAAAATTATAGCAATAATCTACTGCGATCAAACTTGATCATCTATAAAAGACAAAAGTTATCGTGACTAAACTCTCATCTTTGGCTGGAGTGCTACTTCTATGCCATGCCACAAACATTTCAATCTATGGTATGTGAAAGCCCTTCCAAGGCTTATCGTTGGAATCTGTTTAGCATAATGGAAAAATAAATCGATTCCCAGGTATGGCCTTAAGTTGTCTCCTTGCATAAATAATTAATAATAATTAGCTGCCCTTTGTCCATTGCTGGATGAAGGCCTCTCCACACCCAGTGAGCTCTGGGTGTTATTAAACCATACTTCACCACACTTGTCAGTGCAGGTTGATAAACGCGGAGGCTGGGCAGGGGAGCAGAGCACGCCACTGATGTTAGCCGTGAGCAGGCTTGAGTTTAGGCGGCTGGGTTCAATAAGCAGTGTGCTAACCACTACGCCACCACTCTCACCCCCAACCCATGCCTTGCATTGTGTGTGTACAATGCAAGGCAGCAGGGAAACCTGCCACTTAGGACCCCAATGTACACGTGTTGAACTTAATTCACACCGTACAAAGCCAACCGTTCTAATCGGAGGTGTGGGGGGAAGGACAAACTAAACACAAGAAGCATAATACACGGGCATAATATGACTTTGAAACCCCCCCCCCATCTCCTACACAATCCATAAGTAGTGACTAATCCCATATCTGCATTTTCCATAAATATGCTAAATTCATCTGTTGATATGCAAATTCCTTTGTCAAGGCGCCCTCCCTCCTCTAACCCAGCTTAAATATACGCTGCCAAGCTTGGTGGTGTTCATTCAGACGCTGTCTTTCCGACAGACCTGCTCTTCACCCGAGGACGGCTGCTTGCGTTGTGGCCGAAACGTCATGAGAATTTTATTTTATTATGTTTTATTTTTATTATTTTATTATTTCCCTTCTACGTGACTTTACCGAAATAACCAAGAAGACAGTTCTAAAGAAATTAGTTTTCAATCTAGGATTTCAACGTGCATAGCTCCAGTGGCTTCCTAATATCGGAAGCAAGAGCGTTCCATACGGCCGCAGAAGCTCATCTCGAAGTGCACGATGCGGCGACCGATAACGTTCTTATCCATCACTAGAGGCATTTCGGCCGCATCCAGGATGGTACAAGAGGGGAATATGCGAGCCGGCAACAACGCCACGTATGTAACGTTCGCGCGCTCAACCACCTACGAAGGCGGCGAGCCCCCCTCGTTATTATTCGTGAAGGGGCGATGCGCAGCCACTCGTTTCCAGGTGCTGGGGTGGATTGTTTGCGTCACGGGACTGAGGGGAATGGTCCGGCGACGGCTCGAGAATGCCTCTGCCCAACGACGATGGTGGTGATGGTGGTGGTTGATGTATATATGTAGAACTTCTTTCGCACCATAAGGAGCCAACCGTGCCAATCGGAGGTGCGGGAATCGGAAGTAGTTAACATTTCGCCCCCGTGGCGTCCCGATCCAGAGTCCACTGGGGTCATACATGATATGATGTAAGCGAGCGATTCCACGATAGCAGCAGGCGTGGGGAGGGGGGGGGGGGGGGGAGTTTCTGACCTTGGCGATGGGAGACTTGCGCACGTTGGCCTTGAGGATGGCGCTGCGGGATTTCTCGTCGGGCAGCGGGATGTAGATCAGCTGATCCAGGCGACCGGGACGCAGGATGGCAGGGTCAATGATGTCCGGTCTAGAGTCGAAAAACACGCACGCATGCACGGTCATATAAATGTACAGCCGTTTGGTCAAGTTACTGTTGGATAAGAACCTCAGTTGAGGAAGACACTGACGATTGACTGTCAAATTAGGTCCTCTGGTGCTGTCTTCTCTGGTCCTCTGCTTTAAAAGCACGTCCTTGGCTATCATCTTATTGAGACAAATAACTAGAAGTGTCTCTATACTCCTGTACACGTATTCATCTCTCCAACAAAAATAAAGCTGAGTTTTATATAAAGCATCGTTCATGCCAATTGCATCTCGTCAGCAGCCAGGCGGCGAGCCGACATCAACAACTGCCCAAGCTCTGTAGTCCTCTATATATGAACATGTTTTCAGCAATTTAACGAGTGTTTACACGTGTGTGAGGTACACGGAGCACTCGGAGAAAACTGACGCGTGTGTGGGGGCAGCGCTATCCCTTCTGTATGGACCGACAAATTTAATTCGCACTTTGCGCAACCACCTTCTCCTGGCAAGAGCCAGGATACGCACGACACCTTGACGCCCACGGGAAGGCCGTTTCGCAACATTTTGTGCGATCCACCAACGCTTGCCTAAATTGCAGGCATGCACCACCACCACCGGCCGGCTAACCCTCGTAAGTACGTACGTAGAACTTCTTTCGCACCGTACGATGCTCACAATGCTGGCCCGCATGCCCCCTACAACGCGGGCCAACTCTCGACAGGAAACCCGCTGCGGACTTCCCCACGAACTACACCGACTGTCGAACATTCATGTAGCGCTCCTGGTGCTTGTGGGGAGGTCACAATCCGATGAGCTATAAAGCTCTTTTCACAGATGTCCATTAGTTTGCACATGCCCTTGGGGTCGGGTCGGCTCAGGCCTCGGCCGGGATCGCAACCCGCGAGCCGACTGAGCGCCGGGGAGAGGCCTCACCGGTTGGTGGCGCCGATGATGAAGACGTTCTTCTTGGTGCCCATGCCGTCCATCTCGGTGAGGATCTGGTTGATGACGCGGTCGGCCGCGCCGCCCCCGTCGCCGACGTTGCCCCCGCGTGCCTTCGCTATGGAGTCCAGCTCGTCGAAGAAGAGCACACAGGGAGCCGCTTGCCGGGCCTGAGGGCACAAGGTCGAATATGGTCAGATGAACTCTTTTGTATTTTACCAGGTACGGACCACTGAGCTGTATAAGTAACATGGCCACAAATGATAGCTCAACAAAATGGCTTATCATGATGAAACATTACAGCAGCCAAATCCTGTAAACGCACACTTCTAAATGTGGAGGGAAAAACTGGAGGACCCGGAGAAAAATCCATGTGACCACAAGGAGAACATGCGAACTTCAAATATGCAGGTGTCGGGGTCGGGAACGAACGCACGTAACCTCCCCCCCGATGGCCCGCACGGCGTAGGGAGGCCCCTTAACCAGCAATCGGCTGATAAATGGTTGTGCATGTGGGGTTGTACTCATTCAAGCTCAACATACTTCAGGATGCAAGACAAAGATCCGCCCCGTATAGCCTTAACAGACTTTTGACGCAAGGTGTTAGCAAACACCCATTAGGGTGGGTGGGTAGCACCACGCCCGACCACCTTTGTCTCCCTAGTGGCGCACAAAGGGTTGCGGTGTGGCCAGCAACGCTCATTGGCTAACACATAGGCCACAACACAAATGCCTTCATTTGTGTTGTGGCCTATGACCAAACTACCCAGAATGCACCCGATGTTGTAAAACCGCAGTAGCTAAGCACGTTTGAGCCTGGATAGCGGTTGGGTCTGTGACAGCCAAGCATTAAACCAGCGCTGCTCGGCTCTGTTGTGGACAGCCAAGAGCAGTGCAGCAAAAGCCATTGTTGTACTGCACTTCCATCATACCGTGTCTATGCTCCCCATCTTCACCAAACCACTGACCAGCATCGTGAAGTATGGTCAAATAACTCCCCGACCTGCAGAGTGGCGAGGGGCCCCCATCTCTTGCAGTCGATTGACAGAAGGGCTGTGCTTGTACTAATTTTAAGGCTGAGAAGACCTAGGCGAAGCCCACGATAGTGTTTGATATCACGGGCCACTCAAATTGTGCATGACCTCGAATCAAAAATGTCACCAGGATTGTTGCGCTGTATGCTAAATACCGTGCTATTAGCCCCCATAAACACACAAACATGCCCACGCATTTCTACATGTTTTTACGGATACATACAAAAACACATGCATGCACGAATACAAATCGCACACACATGCACGTACGCATGCAAACGCGCGATGCTTGCTTGCAAAGTACGAGCACTCAGCAGTAAGTGGCTATATTTGGATTCATCATAACCCAGCCTTGATAACTGCAGAAAAATCCATAGGTAACGTTACAAAAATCTATACGAAACTCAATCTGACGCCAAGATTTAGGGGCCCCGGGTTGGAGTGGGGGAGGAGATGGAGGCGGAGCGGGGGTGGAGGGGCGGAAGGGGGATACGATCAAATTGAAGCGAGGATACAAAAATAGTCGCGCGGACGCACAGCGTCTGTAATGAGCCACGTCACGCGGAATGAGCAGGGGAATAAACGGAGGGCCGACCGCGGGGCGGATCGACGACCCGGGCCCCGCGCTCTCAGAAGCCGCGCGCACATCACATCGTATGCGGCGTCAGCTCCGCGCGCGATGATTGGCACTTTCCATTGGAGGTACATGACGCAGGGAAGTCAGAGGAGGAGGGGAGAGTGGAGTAAAAATGCGGTGCGCTCCTTCGGCCAGTCGGGGCTGACATTTCATTAATTCTCTGACTTGCAGCAGCAGGAGAGTACATCATCCGGACACCCGATTGCATTCAGGTGCACGTTTGGCAGGGGGAGGTGGGTGGGGGTGGGTGCGGAGGCGGGGAGAGCAGGGCTCATGCCAACAAGTTCGCTTCACACAGGAGATTTATGGCGTAGAGAACAATTACTCTGAACTGTGTAACCAGGTTAGGGTAAATCCGAGTTAACGCCAAGCGCCGCGAGGGGTGACACCCCCCCCCACCCACTCCGCCACACACCGCACTGCCTATTGTGTTGCTGCTTGCAAACGACGTGACACTGCTGGAAATGGTCCCACCAAGTGTGGTTTCGTTGTGTCAGCGTAGCACGATTAAAATGTTGTCAATCCACTGCTAGATGCGGGACTCCCGCCACGCCGAGCTGGCCATGGGGGTGTTGTGATTGTATTTCACAGGGGCAAAATTAGTTCAGATGTCTCTCACCACGAACGTTAACCATGAGTCAGCAAATTAGCACACAGGTCACGGGGTCCGTAGTGCAGTACAACGATAACCACTCCGCCCCAGCATTAAAATAACTACTAATTAATTTAAATCATTGCGCGACCGCTTCCCCATATTCGTGTGTGCAGCCCTTCTAGTTCATTCCACACTGCTAGATCAGGGCCTCCCCAAGCAGTGTCATCATAATGGCGCGTGCACCGTTCTTAAGGTCGATGTTAACTACCTCTCCTGGTATAAAGGAGGTTATGGGTTCGATCCAGACACTGAAAAGCTGTAAAATTTGAGTTTTCATGGTCTCCCCGTGGTCGCATGGATTTCTCTGGGTCCTCCGGTTTTTCCTTCCACATTTAGAAACATGCATTTGAGTATTTGGCTGCTATAATTGTCCACGTGATAAGCCACTTCGTTGAGCTATTATTTGAGGTCAGGTCGCTTCTGAAAAAGAGCTCTGTAGAGCTCAGTGGGCCTTACTTGGTAAAATAAAAATAGTTAACACTAAATTATTAATGCACAACGCTAAAAAAAAAACTCCAATTCTTGAAGAGGATCGTGACCCAGATTGGTGATAATTTGCCAAATTGTGGACCGAGAAATATCGCAACATTGCTCTTTTTTCCCCCGATGATAATCAAATCATAAACGTCAGCCATTTATTTTATTTTGATTCCGCATTGATTTGGGTAGCACTCGCGGTATATTAAACGCATCAGTCAGGAGAATAACTGGCTGATTATTAAAAAACACATTCTAAATGCACGTAAACACAGTAATGCTTTGTCATTTCCGTCATGAGACATCGCTAAAGAGGTTTCGTTAGTCAACCAGTTTCTCACTCAATAAATAATGCTCTCTGGATCTCTTCATAAGCAAAGCACATAAAAATGTATAAAGCATCCTCCTAAAAATATTTTTTTATTTGAAGCCCCATCATTAGGGTTCACGGCAAACCCCACTACGCAGCACAGCAGCAAGCTGAAAACAGCTACGTACACTTCGAGGTGTGGTTAATAATTATGATTTGTTTCTGGTCGATACGATGTTGTTGAAGGTTTGTAAACCGGCAATCAACCCGTTGCATGCGATTATAGATATTGCTAAAAATTCTAAACCGAGTAGTTGGCCTGTGGCCACATCCGTAGTGTAAATATTTTGTAGCCCGCTGTAGCTATTTGATTCTTTGCTTTCATTTGCTTAAATCAAGAGGCAAGGCCATGGTTGAAGCACTCCGATCTATGCAGATTTAGGAGGTTCCCCAGCCCTCCTCCGAATGACACTCCGCCCATTCCTCTTTAAGCGCCGCCCCTTCCCCTGCAGCTCTGTAGACCACGCCTCTTCCCCCAGATACAGGCTTGGGCTTGCTTTGAGGATTGTTTTTAAAGATAGTCCCGATTCCACCCCCGTGACACTAAAGCCGAGTTGATTTGAGGGAGACAGCACGGCGAGTGGATAGTGGTGGGGGTAGTGGGAGTAGAGGCGTGCATGCAGCAGGAGGAGGTAGCGATGGATTGCAACAGGAATTTCCCTCAACCCTTTCCCATTCCAATGACGTACATGTACGTAATTGGAACATAATCCGAAGAAAAATGAAAACTTTATCGGTGCGTCTTCATGTCGGCAGACATACCGAGGCTCTCAAAAGGCCATGCGGGAGGGCGTGGCAGTTTGGCGCCAGGTATCATAGAGTGCGGTCGTGTCGCTAAACTTCTTTGCAGCGAGTACGTCTTTAAAAACAAAGGCGCTCCTGCCTCTAAAAAAAATTAACGCCAACCGCTTGCACATTCCGAGATCCAGTGGTAAACGGGACCCACCCTGCAACTTGCAGACATCTCGCAACGGCAAGGGGTTCAAGTTCAAGTTCATTTATTAGGTATAGCCCTGTGAGCCATTCAGGTTAAGAAGGGCAAGACAATATACAGATGGTACCCATCGGAAATCGGCTCGACACGAATGCGGACCCCGGTGGTTTACTGTGGCAAGGCAAAACCCCGGTGGTCGACGTCGCGTCTGCCCCGTCGTCAAAAGAAACCCCCACCTTGTCGAAGACGTCGCGCACGTTGGCCTCGGACTCGCCGAACCACATGGTGAGCAGCTCGGGCCCCTTGATGGAGATGAAGTTGGCCTGGCACTCATTGGCAATGGCCTTGGCCAGCAGCGTCTTGCCGCAGCCCGGCGGCCCGTAGAACAGCACGCCCTTGGAGGGCGTCATGCCGAACTTGAGGAACTTCTCCGGGTGCTCGACCGGGTACTGTGGGGGAAGCAGATGGTGGGGGACAACTCGTCGTCATGTCACTGTGGGTGGTGCGGCCGTGCGGGTGGCACGTTTGCCTGCTTGTTGCACAGAAAACGGCTCCATTCCAGCGGCCGCCCCGATTCATACTCTCGGTAGTGTAATGACCGTAAACGTTCGCACCATCCAGTTAACGGCAGACTTTAAACATCCCGTGACGTCATTTGCAAGAGAGTAGGCGCCATTGCGTTGCTGCGTCTTGGTCCAACTTTGCCAAATCTTAAACATTCCCTGCAAATTACTCAATTTGAATAATGCATAGCAATCATCGCCCCCCACTGAAAAAACTTCACAGGACCCTCCTGAAAGAGTCACGGGGTTCAAGAGAGGCTTTCCTGGGTAAACAAGAACAATAACAATATTAAGCAGCCAGCTCAGGTGGTGCTGTGGGTAAAGCACTGGGTTTGGAATGAGGTCATGAGTTCAAATCCCCATCTGGGCTCGGCTCTGCCCATCATCGTCTCCCTCCTCAGCCAGCGAAATGGGTAACGCTCTTTGCGAGAACAAAAATTGTCAGTAGAACAGATTGGCCCTGTCATGGAAATGTGGAATATTAAACATTGGTAAGGGCTGCCAATCCAGATGAGCAACGCGACACATTTGGGGCCAGAGTTGTCTGCTCCTTTGCGAAGTTTGACGAGCGAGTTCAAAACTGAGAGAGTGTTAGGATGAGGCTGTGAACTACACAGAAAGCACAAATCTACCGGGCAGAGCCCATAAATAAATAAAACCGTGAGATTAAAACAAAGCTTCATGTAAACCCTACATCGCCCTCTGCTGTACAATCTCTGCACTTACCACACACCCTCATTCGAAGCAACAAATTATACTGGTTAGTGCCAGTTTTAACGCAAATGTTGGAAAGCTAGATACAAAACATTTATTTATAAAAATGCTGACCACAACCTACCTCCTGGTGACAGCACTTTGACGCTTTGGAGACGATGCATTTGCGCATCACGTATATTTGTAAAACTCCCCGACATTAGAGGCTGAGAAGTGGCCAGGGGGTTGGCAGAATAACGAATGGGTTCATGAGTCTATCTGTGCAGACCTTGCGACGTTCCCTCTGGGTAATCGCATGTCTTCCCGCACAAAAAATACCACCCCCCTTATTTAAAATGGAACTAAGAGTTGCAATGTAGGAACCCTCCTGAAAAAGTCTTAAGACTCTGAGGCATGAGCAGATAGATAAAGTTTTTTTTTTTTTACGGTGTTCAGAGAAGAAGCGACCTGGTCGGGTGGAGTGTTCTTCTCTCCCCATTAGGTGGGAGCCACTTCAGTGCCTGTAAAATAAGTCTCGTCCATCACACGCTATCCAACGGGAACTCGCTAGTTAGCGCAAGGCATCGGGACAACCGCGGCGAGTGCCAACGCCGACTCGTGCAGGGGTCTGTGGCCCCGGAGCCGCCACATGAAGCTCTGCAAGGACTGCTTTGTGATGTTATTTATCACGGACCGTCTCGTGTTCACCACAGCACATTGCGGCTCTTGAAATATTGAGGGTTTTTTTTACCAAATTTAAAAAAAAATGGCTCTTATTGTTATTTTGGTTGCCGTCCCCCTAGATTCGACGAAAGAACCATTGCACCGAGCCAATTTATGAAAATTTTAAAATCATGCCATCCCTACTCTCCGATCTGAGATAGAGAAGTGAATCCTGGGTAGAGGCTTCTAGACGTGACAAGTGGTAGGTGCGTGCACTCTGTGCCCATCGCAAAGCTCTCTCCACGCTACAGTTCCCGTGCCCATCGCGAATCGTGCATGTTATGAATAGGTAGGGTCCTGCGGGCGCCAACACTGCCCGCTCCTGCCAGACTAATAATGCCCACTTCTCAGTCCGGTGCCATGGTCACCTTGTACTGCACAGGGACAGCTGCCACCAGGTGTCCCCCTCGGCTAGACTGCAGCAGGTAGGGCAACGAAATAGCCCGAGATGAGATCGTGACGTAACGCGCTCTTAGAGTTGCCGCGGCGTTGGAGGAGCAATGCGTGCCCCATAAACGCGGATGTTTATCCTGAAAGGAGTCGTTGCGCAGAAACGTATTTATTTTCTTCGTTGCGAAGGCGGAGACTGCTTCAGCTGGGGGCCCGGGTCACCGTACCTGCACCAGCTCCTGCAGCTCACGCTTGACGCTCTCCAGGCCACCGATGTCCTCCCACGTCACGTTGGGCACCTCCACCACCGTCTCGCGCAGCGCCGACGGGTTGCTCTGGCCCAGCGCCCACTGCAACGAGTCCCACGGCACGCATCACACCCAGCGTTAACTTAGTCAACATCTTAGTCCAGTCGACTTAAAGCGGTCAATGCTATGGGTCCACTCTTACTTATTAAATATTGTCGTGACGGACACGCGACTTTTTTTTACATCCAATATTATCAGGTCAGCAAATCAATAGCTGTTTTCTTTTTCATATAGGCATACAACCAATTACCAGTTTTGGTCTTGCTCGGTGCGCTGCAGTCATCGAGAAACGTTATTAGATTATCTCAGAATGTGTCTTCATCGGACTCGTTCATTTTGTCTCGTCGTAGTGCGTTGTGCTTTGGTACTTGGTCGACAGTAGTCAGTCATCGTTGTGCTTGAACATTTTTGTCGACTCAGTCATCATCGTTTACCAAAATTAATCATTTCATTTATGAATACCTTCATCACTAATTTCGTTAACAAAATGACCACTTGGCACACTATGCCACAATGTCAAAAAACAATATTTCCAGAAATGTATCCCAATTGTGCCATTGGCGTTTCGTCACAAGAATAACAATTTAGTCGGATCTCCTGCAGAGAAGTGCGACCCCTTCATTTGTAGACAACAGCCCGGAGCAATGGATACGCAAGAACTACCTTTGAGATCTCTTCAAGTTACCCCCGATTCACAGAAACGGGTTGGCACGTTCCCACTCGCTACGTTAGCGAGAGAGTCATGTTCGACACACGGTAGACAAACTGACATTTTTTTATTAAAAACCTGGAATTTAGTTACATTTACAAGCAGAGCCAAATTTAATTTCATATTTTTATTCATACAGTTGTAGGTGATCGGGCAGCGACCATAAATCCTCAAACACGTCAGAACCTGGTATAACCTCAAGACAGCCGATACCCAGATTCAAACCCAGGATCTAAGCGTTTGCCAACGTAGCGTCTCTGAGCTCCGAGCCACCCAGCCACTATGTTGGCAGTGTCGTTGCTCTAATTATTGAAACCCGTCTCCCTTGAAAAAACGAGCCTTCTGCTCTCCGTGGCTCTTATGTAAGCAGGTCATCAATAAAGGCCACCTCCAGGCACATAACGATTAATGCTGTCGGCGATTTGATTAATTGTCACAATTTACAGGTCGCGATTTGATTGAAAATTTTATTTTACTTTTTACCGTCTCACTTTGTATTGTTTCTCGGTTGTGCATGTTACGTTCGGCCACTACGCTGTTTATGCTTTCAATTTGCATAAACTGTCAATAATCCATTCTTACGTGTATCTCATGAGCATAGAAATTAATTTGTAATCAACGAATCACTGAGATACTATGCCTAATTTAGCCAAACAATAATTGGCCTCTGATTACTGACAACGTGAGGTTTTTAAGTAATAGAACTTACTCCTACGTTTGGTATTTAAAGTGTTGTAATCTGTTTAACAGGACTTTTTTAAAGCAGCTGCATAACAAAGTGGTCAGAGGGTTGCGAGTTCATATCCAGGTTAAGGGTCAACCCGGCACAATCGCCCATTTGCGATCATTAAAACCATTTTGTCCAAAGCGGTTGTTCTATTTCTATACTATGGTTGTCCTATGGAAACACTTTGCAACATGTCAAACAGAACGCAGAATTTCCACCAGTAAGTCTATGACTGTGAACAGCTGTGTACCATCGAACGCCTGTTATAAAATAAAACCTTATTTTTTAGGTTACCGTACATCACGGCGAATTATCGTCAGTAAAATCCACACCGCCGCTGAGGTGGTGTGGCAGCGCAGCCTCATCTGTATGCAATGGCCGCCGCTGTCCTCACATTAACCCCGCGTCGTCGTGACCACGCTCCGTTTTACGGAATCATTTTCAAATTAAATCGAAAAAACTAATTAACCGGTGTACAATTCGCAAGGGCAATCCGATCGCAGAATCCGGTTGCTTGAAGGTCCTACGATCAAATCACCCGGAATGTACCCCCCCCCCCTCCTCCCCTTAATCTCATCAGATCTGGGAAGCGAAGCCAGGTTGAGCCTGGCGAGCGCTTGGATGGGCGACCACCACGATCGCATCGCAGGCTACTTTTGGGCAGCAGAGGGCGGTGGGGAAAACTCTGTGGTTGAACTGTACTTCTATGCCCCCGCGTCGTCTGCACTCCCCACCTTAACCAAGTGTCAGTGTGGTGAAGTAGCCCCCATGACCCCACATGGCATTGGCTCGACAAAAGGGCCGTTCACTTCGGGATTGAGAACAAGACAGTTCAACCTCCAACTGGGATTTGAACTTATCACCGACATCTCTTTAAGTAGGGCACTCTGCAACAGCACAACCCGGCCAGATTGGCCTCGGCAACAAACGGCAATGTTGGGACCAATGATTGACGCACAAGAAGCTCCGTCATATATTCCCATACAAATAAAAAAAATCACAGATAGGCAGAATGTAACACCTATTGTAGCGCCCTGAAATAAATTACAAACACCGTCGTCTCTACCTGCATTGATCTTCCAGGGCATCAAGTACAAATTGTGGTCCATAAACCACAATGACTGCCACACTCCCTAATTAATTAATCTTTTTCAATTTTCTAAATACCCCGGTAACTGCAACTCATGAAAGATTCCCATAATCTCAATTTTAATTCAGTTAATTCTCAATTTGTATTCAGAGTATTGGGGCTTGGGAGTAACAATGAACTAATTAAGACATTTAGCCGAAACTGCCACATTCATGCTGCCTTAATGTAAGTAAGTCGTGTCCCGGCATGTGATATAAACCAGCGCAATCTCGGTCCTAATCCGCCACATTATCCATCAGCGCCTGCACCAAATACTAAATGAAGACATTGGCTTTGCACGGCACAGATCAAAAACGCTCAGCTCTTTATTCAGTCTAAGTTAACACTGCCTTGTGTCGGAAAAATAAATGGTAGGATATTTTTTAACTATTAAACTTTTTTTATTTTACCAAGTAAGGCCCACTGAGCTATATAGCTCTTTTTCAGAAGTGGCCTGGCCAAAAAAATGAAGTAAGTGGCTTTGTGTGGAAATTAACAGAAGCCAATTATTCTAAACGAATGTTTCTGAATGTGGAGGGAAAAACCGGACGACCCGGAGAAAAAGTCCACATGACCACAGGGAGAGACGCACAAACTCCAACTATAGAGCAGGTGTCAGGGTCCAGATCGAACCGACGCCCTCCTGTATACCAGGCCAGATAGTTCACTTATTTCCACCGCGGTGCCCAAGGCTAACGCTTTGTACAACGTGGCCCCGTTCTTCAGAGCAAATAGAGGCGACAAAGACGAATCCTGATTACATCATGGGACCTCCTTTGCCAGTACCAAAATATGAGAATAGGTTTTCCCCTTTTTTTCTGGCAACAAAACAGGTGTTAAGATGTTAAAACACCAAACTGAAACCTTCTACAAGGAATCATGTCTGTATTAACCACAATACTTGTGGTCAGAATGCAAACAAAAAAACTCTGATAATATATGCATTGTCTTTGAAACTGATTGGTCCACACTATTCTCATGATCCTGATTACTTGTATTATTAAAACGGAATAATAGTAGTTATAATTCACAGCTACTTATCAATCCACTGCTGAATGAAGGATTCCTCAAAACGTGTCAGTCATGGGGGACCTTTCACCATATTTCACTACTCTGGTCAACGTGGATCAACCAAGTGGGAGGGCAGCCCCAGGACTGCTTCAGACAAAACTCGCCACTGATGTTCGTTGCGATTTCAAGTCCCAAAGAAGCTCCCAGCAGCATGTGGAGCGGAACATTGGACATCGGTTCAACCCGGAAACAACATACTGCCAAATCCTACACAAGCAGTGGATTACAATTCTCATGATCCTGGTATTTTGTTTTGGAACCAGTGTCCCCATTCGCAACGTCGGGGCAGATTTCCAAAAAGATTTAGAAATTTTGCCAAGATGGCAAATCAGCCCATAAAATTTCTTCTAATACTCTGACATTTTTCAGGGCACCCAACTGATAAGCGTGGTCTCTAAACATAAGTGAATCGATCTTTTTGGCTACTCTTTGCTCTGAAGAAGGGCAGAGAGAGGAGAGACATGTTAGCCAAAGCGTCTATTTTTTTTTCGTGAATGATGACGAGGCAGAAATTATGACATCGCAGGATGGCAAGAGACGGTGTGGCGGCTTGGGGAGGAGGGACACCTTAATCCGGCAGTGGATTAACTGTGGCTGACGATAACGGTGATGAAGCAGTCTTCACGACGAAGATGGCAAGCGCTGTCGATTTGTGTCTACGGTACTGGCCGCACAATCAATGTGATGACATTTAATGTGGGATCATAATTCCACGGCAACTACTCTCACAATTAGGCCATTGGCATAGTCTCAAATGGGAATGAGCCTGAATAAATTTTGTTTTCGTTTTTGAACAAAACAACAACCACCAGCTGCCAGCAAAAATCTGTTTGTAGGCAACGAAGAGATGCGAGTCTCCTGCCAAAGGTACTTTCTGAAAGGGTCATAGATGTGGGCACAGACTTAAATGGGGCTAACTTGCCCATCGTACCTACGAGGTCGGCAAGCAAGCTCCACTTTAGGCACAATCGCAGTTGGCAATACGGTCTTGCAATTTAAGAATTGTTCTGTTGTGCCATTTCTTTACCCTTCAGTTTGCAAGTTTCAACTACTTCTCATCTCGTTCAGTTTTGTTCGCTGCATTAGCCTAAATTTTACTTTATTGTTTAATGCGAGTAAATCATAAATGATTGATTATTGTGAAGGAAAGCTGCCAGTTGGCCACCTATTTTAAAAGCGAGATCCGTGACGCGCGAGCACAGCAACAACCAAAGCGAGACAAACAAGTTACAGTATTGTAGAGAAGGGGTACAGGGTGCTTGAGGACTATCGCAGAACTCGCAAACGGGGTATTCAACGGCCGTAAACGAAATACACGCAAATCAAAAAGTGCCGATGTAATATGAAAACGTTAGGTGCAGGTGCACACAAGCTCGATATTTTAGTCTAACAGTGAGTGACAAACA